CCCCAAAACCCCAAAACCCCAAAACCCCTTCAAGATATTTTTTTATTAGATTGGGAATTGATGATTATAAATAATTAATTAATGTAATCTCTACAGAAAGTTTTCGCAAGACAACTCATCAGTTCATAAAGAGTGGTGACAGTTCAATTCCCATCAGCAGGTTTCGCAGCTAAAGATGCAAAGGAAAAGTCCACAGGTGATGAGAAAAACTTTATCAACAAGTAAGAGTAGGAAATACTAAAGAACCTTCTTAAGAAAGTGTCAGCCTAGAATAAGGAAGCTGAAGCTGAAAAAGCCACTAGAAAAACCACTGAATTAGCTGAACTTAAGAAACTCTTCGGTGATCACAAAGCTACTTTTAATGATAAACTTGGAAATGATCTTTATGATTGGAAATTCAATTGAACATCAAGCAAGCAGACTCTAGAAATCTTGATAAATTTGATAAAGATATTGATTTTTTGATCTACCTTTATTTAACTTTAACAGTAAAAGTTTTAATAAAGCCATACTTGAATTAAAATTATTAAAAATTAAGGTTGTAAAAATAATTAATGCTTGTGTTCATTGTTTCTTAATAGCTGATATTCTTGGTCATTATTATACTTGCTGCATTGCTGAGCTATCTTTCTTTTCTACATAATTTGCCATAGTAGCTGAGAAAACACTGAACTTTTCAAGGTCTCCTGAATTCCTACGTTTTTCTAGCATATCCAAGCTCTTCTTGCAAATCCAAGGATGAGTTAAAACTTCTTCAATGGTCATTCTTTAGAATCTATCCTTCTTTAACAAGCCTTTGATAAGATGTTTGGACTCTGGCGAAGCATAAGTCCAGCACGGATGTGAAAAGTTTACATCTTCATAAATTGTTTGTCTGGCTGTCTCTTTAGTATCACCTGCATCAAAAGGCAAAATTCCACTAAGCATCACATAAATTATGACTCCTAAGCTCCAAAGATCGACATTTTTGCCATAAGGTTTTTGCAATAAGACTTCGGGAGCAACGTAAGACTATTAGAATTAAAAATATATTTACTTACCAATGTTCCAAATGGTTCTGTTGAGGTTTCAGTTGGTCCAAGAATCTTAGATAAACCAAAATCTACTAATTTTAAGTCAGAAGTATCCCCTTCTTCAACCATCATTATGTTTTCAAGCTTCAAATCTCTATGAGCTATGGCATAACTGTGAATATAATATAGAGCTGCTGCAATCTAGTGAGCAATAGATCTTGCTCTGTCTTCAGTAATTTTGAATTCTCTCTTTTCTAGGTAGGTGAACAGATCTCCACCTTCCATGTATTCGATGACAATGTAAATATTCTCTGAGTTCTCATAAACATCAAGCAATCTGATAATATTTGGATGCTGACAAATCTTTAGTACTTCGATTTCTCTTTTTTACAACTCTAGTTCATGCATTTGCATACCTTTCTTCTGTATTACCTTTACTGCTACTTTGGTTCCTGTCTTCTTATGAACTGCTAATCTTACTTAACCAAATTTTCCTTTTCCTAATACTCCTTTAACATCATAAAAGTCTTCTAGATTAGCATAACCAATAGCTTCTTTAATTACTTTTACCCATTTATCTCTTTGTGATTAGGTTAAGAGATAATAAACTCTGGATTTATTTTAGGGGAAAAGCAACTTGAATGGATAGAAAGTAATCTATTTTCCGTTATGATTAATAAGTTCTGGTTCCTCTGATTTAATATAAACTCCTGTCAAACTAAGCATACTCTTGTGTTTTTCATCTTCCTTCTTTCTGCAACAGTAAAGCTCTTTGCTCATTAGCCAGAACCAATATCTTTTGAACTTACCCTCTGGGGTCTTTCTCATCATTTCTCCTTCGTATTTCATAATTATTATGGTCTCAGAGACAGTTCTAAAGTTATCTAGTACAACTTAGTTGTTAATGCTTTCGAGGATTCTAGTTGGTGATGCATAACCATCTCTTTGGCCAGGTACCCGTGAGGAAGGAGCAGTATTTGGCAGTCTTATCATGTCAACAAATTTCGTTTAGTTTTCATTAGGGGCAATCTCATTTTCATCATCACTTACTTTAAACTCCTCAATTATACATTCTGCCTAATTATGTCCAATTTTGGCTAACTTTCCTTCCATCATTCCAATTTAATTTGCCTTAAATTTGGCTATTGGAATTTGATTGATGATGCTTGTCTCATCGTTGCTCTAAGGAGGTTATTGATTTTGAGTATGATCCTCCATTTAAACGTCTTAATTATCTCCAAGTGTCTATTCCTATAATTTCTGTGCAAGTCTATCTAAATTTTCTTTACTTGCAGCATACTTAAGCAAGTGCTTCTAGGTTTCAGTATTAATCATGAATAGCCTTTGCTTAATTTCATCTGCTCTGGATAAGTATTGCTAAACTGGGGAAAGCTATTTAAGATATTTAGGTGATGCAATTCTTCTTGGTGATGATGTTGGACTTCCTTATTTTTAGTTCTAGCCAGATTCACTAGTTATCTTCTCATAATTAGCTTAAAATCTAAAGAAATTTTCTGAAGAAGGTAAGTTATCTTGGAGCAATGACATTATCTAAAATACAAATTATTGAATTCTGCTTTGATTACAGATAAGAGCATTTCGGAGGATTTAGTTTCAATGATCTATGTAAAGTCCATGATATTGATTCTCTCTTTTCCATTGAAGATAATGTCGAGGAAGATTAAAATTTATTTCATAGATTCAATTCTGTCTTAATACTCAATTTAACTACACCATACATTATAAATTCTCTATTTTCATACGTTCCTCCAGTTTGCATAGTGAATTTTCCCTCTACGTCTGAAATTTAGTTATTGTTCACTGGCTTATTCATCAGCATCAAATGTTTATTGATGTGCTAACAAAATTATTAGACTTAATTGTTACAAATATTGGAATATGAGATAGCACAATCCTTATATCTTCTTTTGAAATATATCCATCATTATCAAAATCATAACTAAAATAACATAGAATTAATAAGGTGCTTTTAAAATATAAAAATTAGACCGAATACACCAGCTATACACTCTATTCAATGTAATGACTAGTTGCAGTTGAGGTATTTTATTTTACTTGAGCTTTTATAAAACTTACATGTCAAATACAAGCTTGATCTTAGACTCTAGTTTAGAGTAGTAGACTTTGAACATTGCATGGATAAACTCTTTCTGATCAATGATACCATCTCCGTTTTCATCTAAGATTTTGAAGAACCTCTCATTCAAAATACCTGGCAATCCTGCATACTAATCAAGAATTTTAGTTACGATGCAATAATTGCCATGATACTTACCTCCTAGAACACAATCTTTGTAATTCCCTTAGACTTTTTCTCACTCTTAGCAGCTAGATCATTGTAAATATCCTTAAAATAAGGGATAAAAACAAACTTGATGAAATGCTCGTTTTCATCGAGGTCAAAGTCTTTTAATAGAATAGTTTCCTGGTCTTCAAAATGATTGAAATCTAGTGAAAGTGATGATGAGGGTTAACTTTCCATAATTTAATAATATATTATGAAAAATATTATTTTATTTAAGGATATATATTTTCATTACAAATAACTTGTTTTTCAATTATAAAGCTAGTCGGGGTTTTGGGGTTTTGGGGTTTTGGGGGGATAGAGATGCT